TCCAGATCTCTTTATTTCAATACGCATGAATTCCAGTTTTTTGGAGTCTTCAATGTGTTTCGGTTCTACCACTTGGGGAAAAAAAAGAAAAAAAGAAATAAAAAAAAAAAGAATTGCAGTTAGCAAGAGGATAGGGCAAGACTGAATAGCTACCTCATACTAAAGGAATTAGAAAACTAACTAGTACGAGAAAGTCTTTACCATTCTGTAGCACTACTAGTTTTTCTTTGTTTTATTTTCATGGATAATAAATGTTAAGAATGAATTTTACCTACAATTACTAAAATCATGCAGTTAGCACTTGTCATATACACACATTTTTGACTTTTTTAAACTCCAATTGTCATTTTTTGTTTATATTTCATATCTTTATAATTTTGATTCCATTTTCACAAGATTGCGGATATAATACAAAGAGAATTTTTATGTGAATTAAAATTAAAATAAAAACCAGCAAAAATGTGAAGATCTCGTCTTGTAGATTACGTTTCTCCGTCGTGTAGGTTACGTTTGGCCCCAAAGTTTAGTTTTTAATGCCCTAGAACGTTTCGTTTAGGACTAATTCAACGATATGTAGCCAAAAATCTTGCCGTGTGCTGCGGATTGCATTTAGCATAAATATGTAGTTTATTTTTTCCTTTTTCGTTAATTTTTCCGATATTTTAATAGTTATCCTGATATCCGGGCGGAGATCCAGTGAATAATAGACAATTAAAATTGGTCCAACCGTTTTTGAATTATGAATGGTGTAACTAACACAACTTTGCATATATATATATATATATATATATATATATATATATAATTTACGTTCATGTAATACATTATGATACATTATAGATATATTAATAAAATCAATCATTGTAGAGAAATGCTATTTAATTTTGACATCCTCGGATATACTGAACCAAAAGTGTACGTCCCCAGGACACTACAACCGTAGTCGACTGTATTTTCAAATTTTACTATCGCATTTCAGATAAGTAATTGGAGTCTGCAAATTTGCTTTAGAAGAAAATTTGTTTTTCATCAGATATATACCGATCCAATCTTCTGTATCAGTGAGGTGTCATTTATCTTAAATATCTGGCTTAGTCCCATAATGCTGATTCACTATACCTGCATAATGTACAGATGACTGTGTTAATCAATTTGTAACTGTATTGAAGGCCGAGACATCAGTTTCTGCTATAATGCCTTGGAAAGGCTTTGATTTTACGTTTCCTTTTTTACTAATGGATACCCGTGCAATTAAATTGCAGGGTAAGCCGTATCTCTATCAGGCTGAATCTATTATTCCTAAACCGAATCTATCACGAAAAGGAGTGCATTCTGTGCATCCTCTCTAATCTGGCCTGGTGTGGCCTACTCTTCTCAGTTCTGCCTTACACCTTAACGCCGAACTGCTCAAACCCACCCTGCTCCCCGCCACTGTCCTTGCCCTGTGCTGCATTGCCTGACGATATACTATTCGCCTTACCACCAGCTTGTGCATATTGTCGACATTTCAATTTCTTTAATTAATACCAGAGCTGAATGCCTTGGAAATACAGGTAACGTACCTCCGTGCAACAAAAATAGGTGCCCTTCGTTTCTGTCTGCCTGTACATCTAGTTGCGTTGCACGTTTACGCACCCTCCCCCCGATAATCGAAATAAATGGTGTTATATGTTAGGAATATGTATTTTCCGTTTAATGTCATTCAAAGTTCGAGATATTCAGCTTTATCTCCCCCCTTACGTCACATACAGTTTTTACTGTTTTTGACGAAATAAATCTAAATTTCAGTTATATTTATTGTTGAAGCAGCGAAATATTGGGAGAACCTTTTAAAAAAAATCTTCCTGTCATCAGCTAAAACGTCTATTTGCAGTTTGTCATTCTGAAAACGTTCAAAACATCGCCAGTTAGCATTATCAGCGTAAGAATCATAAAGTGTTGAATGAAGAAAAGTGCTAGCATTGCCTGCTCCTGACGGACGGAAAGCGTTCTCCTTACAGCTTGTACTTTTAGTGCGGATTGAAATTCGCATGCGGCTCGCGTGTAAACCCATTTTGGACTGTGGTACCAACTTAAATCGAATCCTTGATGCAGACAAAACGCGTGTTCCTTCTTCCTTTTTTCACGAGCGAGATGCGCCGCCGGGACACTGCGCGGCTCTTCTGTTTTTGAAGCAGTGTGTCTTAAGTGCCTTAAAAAGATGATACGCTCTATCGAAAATTCGTGCAAGCAGTTCCAACATTCACAACCCATCAAAGATATTCTGACGCGAAAATGCAATGCTTTATTTTTAGAAGGAACGCGGCGAGTGTTCTCCAATGTTGTTAATTTGAAGTGTATGTTATTCGCTGTTAATTAGCACGAAAAAATTGTTATAAATAATTGAATTTTCAGTATGGCGCCAAATTTGAATTAATTTGACCGCCTATGCCAACATCCATGTATATGAAACCATTTTCAAATCAAAGAGTGCTGAAGGAAACTGCATTTTAATTTAATGAATATCGCTTCGAAATTCATTAAGTTAAAATGCAGATATTTTCAGAGAGTAAACAAGTTCAGTCAATTCTTGACGGTATTTATGGTATTATTTATGGTATTATGTTTAATGTTTCACAAAATTACACTGGCGGGAAAAAAGTATTGCAACACTAATTGCCTTTACTCCTCCGTAATTTTTAAATATACTTTTAATTAACTTAGTTTTAATTAATTTTCACGAATTGTAGGCGTTTTATGGCACTTAATGTTTAGAATTTTAAAATATAAATTAAACGATTAAATTGGTTATCTCGTGGCCCGGTGGCGAAGTCCTTCTTTTGACCACTGAGGTTCCGGGTTTGATTCCCGCAGAACCTCATATGAAATTTGTTATGGCAAAACTAGTTTGCCTGCTTCACATGGGCTAGTCCAACTCCTATGAAGTGTCCTCAACCTTAACCCTATCCTTATTCCTTCCCAATTTGGGCCGATGGGTAGATGATGCAGGGCGCGTGCGAGACGCGAACGCGAGGAAACCTGTCGGCGATTCCCTGGCTTGAGTGACTACTCGTATTACTGACATTGCTTGACAACCCAGCGGCCCCTAGAAAGCGCTTGTAAACGGAGGATTACTCCAGGGCACTTAATGCTCCTTACGGAGACGCGTTGCGTCGGTATAGACGCAACAAATTTTAAAAAATTGAAATAAATATATTGTTCAGAAGTATTTATAATTCACAACATTTATGATTTAAATTTCGTTTGTGATCCCTTTTCTTATCATGGAACACACAACAAACCATCTTATCTACTGTTGCAGCTCCGCTGCTACTGAAAAACACACACAATGCACAAACAAATGTTATGTACAAATAACCATCATTTTCAAACAACGTAAAATTTATTAAATATTTTCCACAAATTCATTTCCTAATATAAGTACCATGGAAAGCCATTATTTCTTTTGTAAGTTTCTTTCTAATTTTAATGTTTATTTAAATCAGAGACAGATACAAAGACAATTTTGGGAGGGGAAATTCAAAATGTTTCCGTCAAATATGTTATATTACAGATTTTTTTAAATGTCGCACGCTACATTCAGCTCGTAACCATTTTATTTGTTTTAATGATAATTCGAAAATATTTTTGCTTGAAAGTCTTGTGGCTGGTTGAAATTAATAGTTACTGAAACAATTCAGATTTCTCTCATTTCTCTCCCCGTGGATCCGCGCCTGTTTAAATTTAAATGACCCGTGACTTCGTCTTCTCACCTCTTTTGGAATATTTTACGTATTATTCTTGATAATCGCGGTGATTTCGTCCATCCGTTTGTTTTCCTCTAAACATATAATGTTCTAAAATTTACTATTTAATATTGTTTTTCTCATATTTGTGATGGTCTCCAAAATATATCCAAAATAACTTATTACAATATTGGGATATTTCTGCCATCGTATGCACATCAAAGGAGGATTTCTCATGTCCGATATTGTAAATTTGATCGCTGTTCTGTTTCGTAATACGAAGTGCCATAAGCAAAGTCTACAGCGTGTCGGTTTGTCACAGTACGTACTATATTCATAATACAACTAGGCGGGTGAAAAGTAGGTAAGAAATGCAAGACAAAAAAGCAGGTAAAAGACAGATGAAGGGAATCAGAAACTCAAGAACATGGCTCGTATAATACTCCTTGCACATGTTCCGCAAACATTGTTTTTGATATGAAATCAAATTAAATATTTAACTAAAATCGATGTTATTTGAAAGTTGTTTTGTTTTTTAAAGAACAGTAGTTTTACCTATATTTTATTCACTGACTTTGTAAATAATATTTTCTCAATATAAATACGAAAAGTTTCAAGAGGAGTAAAATCAACTAAAACTACAAAGTATATATTAGGTATAATTTTTTTCTGTGCCTATGTTCACAAATTCAGGTAATATAAACTGTAAAGTACTTGTTTGATTTATTATGTGCATTTTGTACTTTGGATGTTTACATCTAAAGTTCAGATACACACATTCCAAGAACATAAGGCTGAAAAATTCATGTAGTTCGTGAGTTAGAATTTAAAAAAAACAACACGAGAATTCCAAAATTCTAGAATGCACATTGAGGATTTCATGTTGCGAAATTTACTTTTGCTCTTTATTGCGTCAGAACTATTCACCAGCTTTCACTCTTCTTTTGTTTCCTTCGTCAACAATTCAACTCACTCACAAATTAAAAATAATTGAAAAAGCATGGTATTTGTACTGCTTAATGAGGGAAAACTGGTCATAATTGCTTTTGAGAGAGGATAAGTAACACTGATTTAAATAAAATTGAGATGGGTTTCTTGGTGGAATAAATTGACTTGCTTTGTTTCATAAAGACGAGGAATTCATTTTTAAATTAATTTATTTGGTACTGTAGTTTAGAATTAGAAAATTGCTTTCTACATTAATAAAATAGTTGCAATACAAATGCTATTATTTTCATTTACATATATACTGCGATTTTACTAACTGCCTCTCAAAGCCCTGGTTCACGGTTGTACCACGTCACAGTATTTCGCGTCTTTCTCGGTCGTGCCGTTAGATGTTGCATGATGCGACCGTATCCAGCACTGCTAAACGATCGCGATCATGCGATATCTAGCGGCACGACCGAGAAAGAGGAGAAAAAAAGTGACATAGTGAAGCAGGGCCCTGAGGGGCAGAGTTAGAAAAATCGCAGTAACCAGAGCATGCTTCACAATGTGTGCCACATATCTTCAATAATCATACTTTATAAACTTATTGAATCAGGTACTCACATTCTTTAATATGTAGGGTATCTTCTAAAAAGATAAATTAATTATTTTTATTTGCATATGTACACTCAAGTTTGTTTCAGAATTAAGTTAAAATCTATCTAATCTCTAGTGGCTGGATAACAGAAACAAACTGGCTGTTACTGGTAGAATTGGCACGTGGGAATTGGCAATTGGGAATAAAAATGCCTCCTGCCAAGGGCCAGAGATGCTAATGTAGATTCACAAGAGAGACTAAAAAAAGCATGGCAGTTTTTAACCAAATGTGCATACCATGTTTAATATCTCTGGCTTACTCATTAAACGAGAGACAATATTCAAAAATATTATCATGAAGCTGTTGACCTAAAGTACTAAATGGTTGACCATTGTATTCTTGACTTTTAGTTACCTGAGGAGCTTCACTTGTGCCTACAAGCGTTTGGGCCAACAAAACTGCAATGTTGACTTTAATGGAAATCATGATTATGAATGTTTTTTTATGAGCACATGTAATGACAATACTCAAAAGTATTGCTTACAGTCCTTATTTAAATATGAACGAAATGTACACTATTTTAGTTAAATAGCACTTTTTCACTTTGTGTTCGTGGCATTGTTATCTCGAGTTCTAATTGCCATCTTGTTCAGATTTTTCTGTTGGCTTCTCTTCATCATTTCCTGTGTAAAGTAGAAATTATAATATTATTGCTGGTGAAAATACGAGAACACTAATAAGAAACAGCAGCAATAACAACAACAACAAAAATAATAATAATAATAATAATAATAATAATAATAATTTGTCGATTTCTAATAAAAATGTATATGTAAATAATTAAAGAAATAAAATAACCTCTTGTCTCTGTAGGTGTGTTCCAAGGCTGAAGTTCTGCACTGCCAAATATCACAAACAGTAAATTTCCTACAAAGTAGATCCCCGAAGCCAAGAAGAACACTACTCGCCATGCCTCTCGATTGGACTGAAAAAAACATAAAGCAACTAATTCAGGCAAAATATCTAGTTAAATATTTAGACAGTATAGCAGCAAAATTATAAAGTGAACGGACGGACGGACGGACAGACAGACAGACGGGTAGACGGACGGATACAGATGGACGGGCTGAAGGTCAGAGAAACAGACGAATAGAGAGACGGTCAGAGCGCCAAATATTCAGAAGACTGACAGAAAGACAGTTGGCACAAAAGTCGTAAAAAGAGTTGAGTGGATTTTTCCACTGTGAAAAGATATGGATGAGTTACTGCGGCGCACCGATTTGTGCTCGTTCTGAGCAGCACCAGTTAGCCACGAACCACGTAACCACAGCATGGGCATTTCTTTTGAATATGCAGACCAGACGCTGAGCGTTGTGTTGCGTGGAAGCGAGACGTGTTGTGAAACATTTTGAAGTGGCATAAAGTGACAATTTTCAACGGTAGCCAATCAAAAAAAAAAAAAAAAAAAAAAAAAAAAAAAAAAAAAAAAAAAAAAAAAAAAAAAAAAAAAAACACGACGAAAGTGTACAAGTTGCAATATTTAAAAGAAAAGCTATGTGCCTGTTTAAATGACTTATAACAAGGTGATAGTTGTAGTACATATTTCTTTACGACAGAAACAGTTAAAAACTGTGTGTGACGTGCGATGGGAAGAAGTTAATTTTAAATTACATTTATGTCCAGAAGCAAAACAAGGGGCCATCTCAGCATTTGCTCACGGATCAGGGAAACTGGACGAAACCTGATCGAAATTGGGGTCATTGGCCCAGAAGCTGAAGTACAATACTTGTTACATAATCTTTACAATTATACATCCCAAATGTTAATAATACAATAAATGTCATTGTATACAAAAAAATAGTTTTCTACTTCCATTGTATACTTCTGTCATTTGATGACTGCAACCCGTTGCATAATGATACTCAATACAATACAGATTTCATTAGGATACATGTTCTTGACCAATCACAGAAAAATTTGCAAATCAAGTATTGACAATCATTGAGAATCGTTCTAATAAATGTGTCGTTCGATTGTGTACATTAAAATTTCATATAATATATTATGCTTGACAGTTTTAACTTACTTTATTATTATTATTATTTACATGGAATACTATTTAAAATAAATGGGATCGTAATTTCTCTTTTACCCTGTTTGAAGAGTGCAGTGGCAAACCAAAGCCACCTGCGACAGGGTAGGGTAAGGAGGTGTGCGCTAGGTTGTTTTGTCTGAATCCTGCATGTCAACTGTCCCGAAACGATTCAACGTAAAAGTTTAACTCATAAAAGTTACCATAACGCGTAGGAAAGGTACGATATGAAACTCAATGTAATGGGCATTAATACATTCCTGTGAAGTTTATGATATACGCTCGAATCGTAACATCGCACTCGTGTGTAATACCCGTCATTAGATCATCGTTTCATAATGTACTATTGTTCGCTAATGAGCCGCGCTTTGCGGCCGCGGGGGCGGAGGTACCTGCTCCTCCGGAGGCACGAGCACGCCCACGAGCAGCGGGCCGATGATGGACATGATGTTGGCGGCGCAGTTGGTCACGCCCATCATGGAGCCGGCGAAGTTGGGCGACAGGTCGATGTGGTTGACCTGGAAGCCCACGTAGGTGGCGGCGTCCAGCCCCACGGCCACCGTGAGCAGCGCCACCGCCGACGCCTTCTCCTCCACGTAGCCCACGCCCAGCAGCGCGCACGCCGGCCCCCAGTGACCTGCACACGCCAACGCCAGTGCTCTCAGATGTGTTTAGAGGGATTCCGCCATGTTCGTTTCAGTTGCCGCCGAAAATTCGCTTAAATGGTTTTAAATTTCCCGCCAAAATCCGCTAAACGTAAAATAAATTATTTTTCCATATTTAAATGTTGTACTAATTTATTCTATGAAAACAAAAATATGATTGCGAAATATAGTGGCTTTATTGAAAATGCAATTCAATTTTTAGATAATATACAATGCATTACTTGGGTAAAAATTTGCAAAATTATAACAATTGATTTCAGGTATTATATAAGTTATTATATAAATATTATATTATTTATTCTTGCTAGTAACATGGATTTAGACATTTTAAAAATAAACAGCATCTGTGCAAAACAACTTATTAATAAAGGTTAACGAAAACTGATGATTTATTAATTTTACTGCTTTACTAACTTTATTAATTTCCGCTGTTTATTCTGCTGTCCGCGAAACTATTTTTTTCCGACGTACGAGTTCAAAATCCGCTGAAAATGGCGGGAATTCCGCCGATATGGCAACACTGGCCAACGTGTTCGCGCCTTGAGTGTGCCGCCGGCATGCCAACAGGTACGGTATAGACACGCACATCTTGGAGCAATACATTCACTTATACTTCGGTTTGTATAACGTGGCGCGTCAGGGCCTTCTTCACGATATCTCACGGCATTTCGCGACTTTCTCGGTCGTGCCGCTAGATGTCGCATGATGGCGACCGTATCAATCAGTGCGATGTGTCTAGCGGCAGGAGAGAGAAAGACCGTGAGATATCGTGAAGACAGTTCCTGAAGCGTCACGTTATGAAAACCGAAGTCTAGGGGCCGGTTTCACCAACCAGGATCAAATTCGTAGTTGATCCGAGTTTCGTGATCCTGATCCGCGGAGTCAAGGCCGACTTGATCCCTGTGCGTTTCACCAACATTTTGAGACATCGAAGTTAATCCGGATCCCATGATTCGTGAGCAGTCGTGAAAATGCGCGGTTGGCAACAATTTTGCAATGCATTGTGGGTATTCTCGCGGTCAGCTGTAGAAAACGAGTTGTTTTGATTTCATTTCGTTCCGTCTGTGTGGTGTTCTTGTTCGGTGATGGATTCACCTGACGTTGGAAATAATGCATAGACTACGCCCAATTTCTCTCCAGTTAAATGAGAATTATTCGAAAGCTTAATGAGTAAATACAAAGAAAGTTTTAATGCTCGTTCTCACATTTCAAAATAATTGCTTCTTTTGGGAATTACTCGTGGTGACTCTCCCCGCAATAAATCTTCAATGACTTCATTAATAATAATAATAATATTTATTGAGTCACATTCGAAAACATAATCTATTTTCACGACACAAATTACCCTAACAAGAACAAAAATTGAAAGTATTACTACACTAAAAAAAAGTATTCAATAAAACTGTCCCACGTCAATTGGAATACAGATACCACAAAATGCTTTTTTACTAATGCTACTTATAATTACATTAATCTGAAGCCAAAATATATTTAAATTTTACTTCCCAATACCGAGAATTCTAACCTTCAATTGTGTTAACCCTACTTTTTATTTACAATACTATCTTAAAAAACACGTTTGCTCAACAAATATTACGCGTAATCCTACTTCTTAACGAATACTTCCATACCGAATCTAAGTCCAACTACAGGTGTTTACTTAAAAAACACGGAAAACTGGAATAGCTAGACGACCAAGACGAGAAATAACTCCTGATCTGGCCGTGATCCACCGCTCGGCGACGGATCAATTGCGAGTCAAATTTGATCCGAGTCAGACATGTTGATTCGTGTCAAGTGCGTAGAGAAACGTACAACGGGATCAAACCGAAGTTGATCCGGATCAACTCGGGATCATCATCTTGATTCCTGTTGGTGAAACCGGCCCTAGGGGAATGCATTGCCCCAAGAGGTGGCGGTTTCTTTCTCCGATGGATGGGGAGATCCGACGCCGATCTCTACAGAGAGGGATTCCTCCTCTGGAAATCTCCTCCAGCGGAGCAAGCCTCCTGAGTCTGGTCAAGCTCTAAGCCAGCGCTGTGCCAGATTGGGGAATTTTGTCCAGAAAATGGGGATTCTTTTTTCACTATGGGGAAATAATGAGGAACATAAATTGGCGGGAAAATGTTTCGGGAATTTTTGGGGAAATTATTTTCATCGGGAGTTGAGATAGAAATATTATTCTCACAATTATTATGAACAAAAAAAGAAACAGTAGAGGTAATTCTCTCTCATTTTTATGTATCAACAAGAGGAAAATAATCGATGCATATACAGAAAGAAAAACATAAGGAAAACGAAGATAGTATACGGCTTCAATCAGCTTAGAGGAAGATAATTGGTTGATTTGGATTATCTGAATTTAAGGGGACAGACAATGGAATCGTCATAGACAGCTCATACCGTTGGTCTATAATTTGGAGAATATATTTAGATTTAAAGTTGGAGAATTTTGTTTCATTGGAGAGGTTATTTGGGGAAATTCCGTAGTAGTGGTGGTGCTCGCCGTATATCTGGCAACTCTGCTTTAAGCTGCCGATTAGTCTCCCGACATGTGTGAAAGTGCATGTAAGCGTCTGTGTAAGTAAAAGGAGAGGCGGGAAATATTGCTCGGTACATAGCCCGATTGTTATGGTTCTGTTCTGACGTTGTCCTAATATTGGAATACCACCCGCCCCCGAAACTAGCACCGGCCGCTAAATTCGACTGGGCCATATTGGCCAGCGGTTGAATTCAACCCAGCGGCTGAATTCGACTGAGTCATATTGCTAGTGTCAAAAATCTGCCACCGTCGTGAGTCGTACTCTAGGACTTTCTGGTCAGAGACTCTGCCAAGGTAACAGCAATAGTGGCTATAAGCTAAATAATCCGAGGCACACCCGGTCCTGGATGCAAGAGACTAGCGCGCCTTTACGAGAAACCCGTCTCTCCTTTTCTCTCCCCAAAATATGGTAGCAGAGCGTTTTCGAGAATCTTCCGTCCGGCATGGACGATCGAGGTACTCGTGAATACTTTTATCATTTGCTATTTACAAGCGGTTGGTATTAATGATTTGTCGCCCCTTCTGTTTAACTAAATATCTATTTAAATACGGTCAGGTTCGTGAATAACTTCAACAATCGCCGCTGTGAGCTCTAGACGTATTTTAAAACTACCAGATTGCTAAACCTAATCTTAAAGTTATATTTTTATATTTCTTAAGTCTTGGAATATCACAATAAAGTATATACACACCACAAACCAACCTCGTAAGTTGGTCGTGTTCAATTCACGTGCCCGCTCAAGGTCAGCCACTCTTGCCCAATTTCCAACTACGCAGTTAGTTGACTTCATGTCTCTGCCACTGATTATTCTATCGCAACACTGCTGTGTTAATCAATAAACCCGCCGATTGTGCGCTCGGTTATTCGGTTTTTAAACGCAAAAGAGATTCGTGCCGCCGAATTTCACCGGCAGCTTTTTGAACTTTATGGTGAAGGTGTAATGAAAGACAGTAATGTGCGTAAATGGTGTAGGCTTTTCAATGAAGGAATAACAAATATGCATGAAGATAGGCCTGGACGACCAACTGTCATTGATGAAGACTTGACAAAAACAGTTGATGAGGAAATTCGCCCAAACCGTCGCTTTACGATTGACAAGCTTCATGAGAAAATTCCACAACTTTCGAGATAGGTTGTTTATCACACTGTTTCCGACAAACTTCATTACCAAAAAAATGTGTGCGAGATGGGTTCTAAATGAGCGCTACGATAAGAGTGATGACGAGTTCTTTAATCATATGGTTACCGATGATGAAACGTGGGTAGCATACAACACTCGAGAGACTAAATGTCAATCCAGTGAATGACATCACTCAAATTTACTTACGAAAATTCAAACAGGAACCTTCAATACGGAAAATCATGGCCACTGTCTTTTGTGATCGGAAAGTCGTTCTTTTGATTGACGTCCTGCCAAGAGGAATGACCATAAATGCTGAGAGATAAAGCGAAACACTAACGAAGCTTAGGTGCGCTATTCAAAACCGCCAGCGAGGGCTTCTGTCTAGGAGCGCGATCGTGCTGCTTCACGATAACGCTCGGCCTAACACTGCCGCAATGACAAAGACGCAACTGGACAACTTTCGATGGGAATTACTGGTCCATCCCCTCTATTGTCCTGAGCTGGCGCCATCAGACTTTCATGCTTTTCTTAAACTCAAGAATGTCTGGGTGGAAAACGATTTGAAAATGATGTGTTGAAAGAAACTGTTACTAACTGGTTAAATGCTCAGGTGGCAGAGTTCTATGATGAGAGAATCCAAAAGCTAGTGCCATGACTTAACAAATGGTTATATATTCTTAGTGGCTATGTAGAAAAGTGAAAATATGTTCATATTTAAATTTTTGATACAATTCATGTTCATAAATAAAGTTGCTGTTACTCCACTTAAAAACAGTTCTTATTTTAAAATGTCCCTCATATATATATATATATATATATATATATATATATATATATATATATGTGTGTGTGTGTGTGTGTGTGTGTGTGTGTGTGTGTGTGTGTTTTCTTCACGATTGGCTATGGATTCGAAAATAGACTTGAATAATGAACGATTTTTATAATTGAAAATTGCTTGCACTATATTACGAAGTTTTGTGTTTTATTCTAATAAACTATTTTACGGAGGAAGGTTGCAGAATGACGGCCGAAACGTTGGCCCCTGTGCTCAGGACTCCAGGACAGCCAAGTAGCTACATTCCTCCGACTGAGAGCCCCCGTGGCAACCCGTGCCCCTGCGAGTGCCTTGGGCGCGGACCCTAGAGCCTGGGCTTTGAGTAGATCTGGTCTACGTATGCTACGTAATTGTGCCTCTGTTGCGATGCACAAATGCAGATATGACTTTTTTACCCTACACGTCGTGTGTTATTTTCTTTGTGATGTTCTCGTTTCAACGTCTTACCAATAGTGTTGAAGAGCTTTCGAGAAGTGGTGAGTTTCAGCCATTGTTTCTTGTTAGCAAAATCGGAGGCCCAGCTGAAAACGAAGCTGAGAATCCACATGACGAAGTAGGGCAGCGCAGACAGAAGGCCATTCTGAAAAAAAGAATGTCGCTTTAAGAAACAACGGAATTGCGAAAGGCAAATGCGATGTTTAATCACAACGGTCTGTGACTCTGTCAGCGTTACTCTTCTACTACTACAGCGTATAGAAGTCTGTAATAAATCACGACGACAGCGAGAATCGAAGAAAAGCCTTGAAGCGCTCCGTGATCTTTGTATTTTTCTCCTAACTCATTAAAATTTAAAAACAAATTGAGAAATAATAACATGCAGAAACATGATGTTCACAAAATATTCTTTTGGAGCCCCAATCATCTATTCGACTGATCTTATATGTGGAAAAATCAGGGTAGAACGATTAAGAAATAATTTAGTCTAAATGTATATAATGTCTGTGTACTCACTTTGGACAATTCGAAACCTAGCACAGAGTTCATGTAGCTGGGCATTTCCGTAAGCAAAGTCCAGAAACCCCAGTTTTGACCGCAGTGCACGATGATGAGCGACCACATGGGCACCGACGTCATGATCTTGCCCCAAGGCGTCGGCGGCCTCTGCGAAACACAAATAATACATAGTATACATCGAAACGCCAGAAACCTATCTTTCATGACTAGACTGTTGACTGTTTAGGAAATGCTTATTTTATTCTAATGAAAATATTTGAAGGCAATTAAAACAGTACATAAATTAGGGAAAACCAAACATTTTGTCGAATTTTTATTTTGCCTTTTTTATCTTTAGTGACAGAAATGCCTTTTTAAACATACTTTTTCTTTTAAATGCTATTTCTTAAAATTTATATATATATATATATATATATATATATATATATATATATATATATATACACCGACCTCAATCCTGTAAAGATTCCAATGTGTCTCACTCACTAATGATTAATTAATAGTCTATTCTTTCATGTTATTTTGTTTTCTGGTATTGGCTAATTTAGATGCAGTGAAATATATTCCTGTTTCTTCCTCCAATTTTAAGATTTTAATGCCCTTTTCGGTGCCTGTATAAAAAACTCTTAATACCTTTTTAGGCGCCTAAAACGTAAGTTTTTAGTGCCTTAACATCCGATAACTAGTCATGACATCTCCTGGCAGGCTAAGTTGCACAAAAGTGTTTAGCCCAGAAATTCTTGACACTCTACAATGCTTGACAAGCAGCAAAAAATTAATTTTATAAGAATCTCTTTGAAATGGACCTTCAACTGATGCCAAAAGTATCCGGTAAATAGCACCACTACCTGGGCTGACGGAGTCTTCACGAAAACTCTACACATTGTAGGAATTTCCCGGAATCAATTTTTTTTTCACATAAGACGCGACGAGATCGCATTGTTTGAGAATAAGGATCCGCGAGCACTTTCCTAGCAATCGTGTAGAGAAGCTAAGTAATACGTTATTGGGCGCATAGAAAGTTCCTTCGGTAGGTTGACAAGCAATTTCCGGCACGTTAATGCAGTCTCTGTGACCCGCGCTCTGAGACGCGGCAAAAACAGCAGAAACATGGTTAACGAATAGGATTCGTATTTATTTTCGTCCAGACAAAGTTAACCATGACAATTTCTTCAATACTTAATGACGTACTCAGCAATGGTGAATCTTGTCAGTTATATGTCGTCTTTTCAGAACATTTTTGTCTGTCAAGAACACTGAAAGGCGATGCACACAACTTCCAGATGCTGACGGCGTCTCCATTTTGCATGAAGAGCGAGAGGTGTCGAGAAACATTATGAATGTGGCATAAAGTGATAATTTTCATCGGTGACCAACCATAACTAACACCGTGATGGTGTGAAAGATGGCACATTTAAAATAAAAGCTTCATAAATCTGTTTCAATGAATTGTAACGAGGTGAAAATTTTGGTATCTAGCTGCAATTAAAATCTCCGCTAATATTGTGCCGCAAACTGGTGCCCGAAGCTCATTTGCTACCGGATACCATGCGCAAGAATCTCCTCCCCTGGACAGTACAACGTTAACAGTGCGATGGAATTGCAATTTGCACAGGGGAAGGGGGCGTGCTCACCACGATGGCGCTGGTGTCCCCGAGCGACTCCTCGATGTAGGTGCGCTCCCTCTCGGAGCACCAGCGGTGCGTGGCGGGCGAGTTGCCGCCCAGGAAGAACCACAGCACCGCCCACCCCACGCCCACCGACCCGAAGATGTAGAAGATGGAGGGCCAACCGATGGCGCTGGCGGCCAACGCGCCGCTCGACGCCATCGCCACGATGGTGCCCACCTGCGCGCCTGCGCACACGCACACGCGCGCGCGCGCTCAACACAAGCGGATTCAGGCATTGATTAGTCATTCCGGGCGCGTCGTGGTGCCCACATGCGCACACGCACGCACGCACACGCACGCGCGCGCGCGCACTCAACACAAGCGGATTCAGGCATTCCGGGCGCGTCGACTACTAAGGTTATTAGTCTTCAAAGTGTAGTGCATGTTTTTGTGGCGGAAGATGGACTTAAATCCTCCCACTTTGGTTGGCGAGAATTGGCTTTGACTTGCGAGTGTTTTCCCGAACACCGTATCTCCCTCTAACGTGGCACCGCTCCAACCGGAACAAGCCATAAGCTTCCGACATGTAGTGTAGTGCATGTGAGTGTATGTGTAAGTAAGGGGTGAGGATAGGACAAGGAAGAGGAAGGAAAGACCACGCACGGTCCGTGGCGTCCATGGTACCTCCCCCCGAAGACGTTTCTGATGTCAGAGACGGGATGGGGACATGGGAAGGGCCTTTAAATTCCCTATTGGAAAAGTGAACATTTTAGAATGCAATGATAATGTCACCTTTTGGGGTTTTGCATAAACTTTGCAACCTTCACACAATAAAAATTTAGAGCGTTTATGGAAAATAATAAATACGCGGGAAAAAGTACTTGTATAAAAAAGGGCTTTATAATGCGCGATATTCAGCGTCATTTCAGTTCTTTCCACCGGGCGCGCTTACTTGTGTCCCACTTGCCCATGCTTCTCCCATGCGCAGCTGAATAACGTGGGCAGCTATACCTCGTTTAGTTCCACTAGTAGGTGGAAGGGTTAGTGTAACCACCAGTTAACACGGGAGTTGAGAGACCTCGCGTTGGCCTTTTTACATTCTCCCTGCGGAGAAGAGAGAAAGTTATATAATGCTGCGCGAAGAAACGGAATATTTTTGGTAGAAAAAACTGTTTTTACAGGGCCCTGGTAACGAAAAGTGGATAAGTTCAGCTGCTAGATTTAGAAAAAAAATTCCTATGAATCGTGATGTGGCCAGAGTCGATGTTTTGTGGGTCATTGATTGCGAAAAATCGAATGACGGCAAAACGTTCGCCTGTCTGTGAATAACGCTAGCGGCTATACCGTTCAGCCGATTTTCTCTGAAATTGATATTCCCCAATCGATCTGGTTGATGACGCGACCCATTCAATTTAAAACCAATATTTTAATTTGGGGGGATACTTAACATGAAACCTCTGGGACACTTTCAAAATTTTCAAAACAAGTGGCTCCATAGTTGTTTTTTTTTAATTAAATTGCGTTGGTGTATAGTGTGCAAGATATTTTAAATGGTGCAGGACTCATGTTTGTTGAAAAGCTTATTTTTCGAAAATTGCAAAAGATCACAATTATTTTTTACTCTTCCTACAGTATTAGAGATTATTTCCCTTCGCGAAACGTGCTTCTTAAAAATATATTTTGAAATAAAGTCATACAATCGTACGATTTTTGGAAAATGTGTGTCGTGAACGCGTAGTTTTGCGAGAAAGTGCGCGCTGTTGTAGCGGAGCCGGGGGGAGCTCACCCGCGTAGACGTATGTGGCGAGGCGGCCGCGCTCGTCGGGCGGCGACCACTTGGCGAGCAGCGTGTGCACCGAGGGGAAGACGAGCCCCTGCGCCAGCCCCTGCACCACGCGCCCGGCGCACATCCAGCCCCAGCCGCCGTCGGCCGCCAGCGGCGTCAGCAGCGACACGGCCGACGTGAGGCCGAGCGACGCGACGAGCAGCGGCGCGCCGCCCACGCGCTGCGCCACGATGCCGCCCGGCACCTGCGTCACCACGTAGCCCCAGAAGAACGAGCTCAGGATGGTGTCCTTTTTGCTGCTCCAGTCGTACGCCTGCCACACACAAGCACACCCGCCCGTCAGGCCCAGCTCGGGAAAACGGCCCAAACAGAATGAATTACGCGTTGAGGAGACCATTGTATGAGTTTATTTCAAAATCTAACTTTAAGGAACACGTTTCGTTAAAGGAAATAATCTCTATCTTTAATATTGTAGTTGTAGGAAGACTCCGAAAATTTTTTGAACTTTTGCAATTTTCGAAAAATAAGTAATCAGTTTACGGTAACGTCGTGGTCGTTTATTACTAGAGCACGAATGTTTATGGCCTAAATGTGCAAGAAACAAGCAAGCGTTTATGACGTAAAAATACAAAAATATGACCATAAATATGACTTTAAAAATTTTGTTTGCATTTCCGAAACCTTCAGAATCTTTCTGCTGTTTAATTAACCACTATATTGAAAATACGCTTTTAAAATCTAGCAAATTCACAATGCACCCCTTCTCCTTCAACGCCTCCTGAAGACAATTTTACCTACTAAAGTTATTTTTACAAGCGGTTTACTTGGGCACAAAACTTGACAAACCAAAATTAACACTTCCTTACGCATCTGTTACGTTTTCTTTTTCTCCTGTATAGATTATACTCCTCATTCACATACATATTTATAGGAAAGACATTCAACAATTAGATAAAATAATTATTGTAAGAAATTAGATAACAATTAGGTGTAAATAATTTCTTTGTGACGACTGTAAGCAAGTATGCAAAAATGGGATCAAAAATATAAATATAAGACTAAAAGTACGCAAATTCGTGGGAAAATAAGACAGTAATATAAACATTAAATAATATAAAAACCATAATATAGCGCGAGGGGTCGATTAGATTTGTCCATGATAGGGTTCTTACGATCGTAGCCTACTAGGGTGTAACTCAGCCATAGTGACACACCATTATAACGTCATGTAATCATGACATTAAAAAATGAAGAATCAGATGATATCGGTTTATTTTATGCATCCAGCATATTAGTTTGCGTTACGTGACAATATGTACTGTTATTATTTGCACAGAAAATTGTATTTTTCGTTGAACTCGCTCATTGTTTGCCTGGCTGGAGTAATCCAAACGGTTTTTTTGCAGCCTGCATATCCTAGAAATAAACCGAACTAAACTGTGGGGGAGCACCAACCGGGAAGTCGTCGTTGATGTCCTTCTCGTCGCCGCAATCCCTGCACATGGCGACGATGGCCACGCTGAGGATGACGCGGAGCGCGTACGCCACCGCCAGGCACAGGAACAGCATGAAGGCCACGAGGTGGCGCGCCCCCAGCCCCGTGCCTGCGGAAGGAAAATTATTAGCAATAAAATGGAAATTTTGACAACAATAAATAATAATAATAATAATAATAATAATAATAATAATAATAATAATAATAATAATAATAATAATAATAATAAAATTAAGCCGATTCCGATAGCTGAGATGATTAAGGCAGTAGTGCCGTTGCGATCTCGGACGGAAGGATCGCGGGTTCGAGTCGCGCCTCGAGCATGGCTATGTTTGTATGTGTCTGTTTATGTGTGTCCTCCATTCATCCGTCCTTACCATTTCTTCTTCCATCCCGCAGGACTGGCAACCCTGGAGTATAAAAATTTGATTCAGCATAAAGCTGACCCCTCCAAAAGGAATCACATACGCTTGCCACGGGATGAATGTTACTGAGACTCTTGTACGGTGTACGTCCGCGTGGTCCTAGACAGCCAATTCGCGACCAAACAATTTAGATAAGTTTGAATGGGGTCCAAACACATTGTAAACACACTTTTTGAAGCAGAAAGCAATGATTAACTTTCAAAAATATTTTCATCACATTTTCGTTCTAGAAGCGTCACACTCTTTCAGTCACAGCGTTTCTCTCTCTAACGGGGGTAATTACTTTTTCGCGAAATTCGTTTAGTTTTGGGAATAAATAGAGCTAGAATGTTATGCATTCAGAAACAACGTTATATTACGAGAAAAGTTTCACATTTCTTACTCATATCTGAGAAACTATTCAAGTTAGAACACTAATTTTTACTTTGTCGTCCTTACGAATATAAGAAGAAAAAGTATTGTAATCATGCGAAAACGGGGAATTTTAGACAGAAATACTCTAATAGTCAGGACCCGGTAACGAAAAAGTTGATAAATCTTGTTCCTAAAGACAGTAAATTTCTTCCATTAACACGGGGTGTAGTCATAATTCATGAATCCTTGATATCGAAAAATAGATTGACGTCAAAACTTGCATATATGCCGTTCACCCATCCGTCTGTGGTCAACGTTATCACTAAAACCGTTCAGCTGATTTTCTCTAAAACTGATATTCCCCAACCGAACTGAGATTCCCCAACGAACTCGAGGCTCCGAAGTTTCATCCGGATATTTTTATATTGAGGATACATTACATAAAAACATTTTCAGAAATTTTCTAACAAATAGCTAGAAATTTCTCCTCGGATAGAGTGAAGGACGCTTAACAGGTCTCTTATATGCTGAAATCCCTGGTTTTTCGAAAATTCCTAAATTGCAATTTTTGCGGTCGTTTGCTACAACTACAATATTGATGAAAGAGATTTTTACCTTAATTAAATCTGTTCTTTAAAGACAGCTCTTAAAAACATGACATGGACAATTTTTCGAAAATATAAGTAGTTTTCGTGTAATTTTGCGCGAGATATAGACAATTTTAAAATTTTATTTCTTGTGTTTTTAAAATTTTTTCTCGAAACCGTTTAACTATTTTTTATTTTCTCCTCGCATGTATCAAGGGATGGTAAAAATATAGTGCTAGTCCCATTTTCGGCGAAGGTTCCATATTCTCGAAAATCGCAAAAAGTGAACATTTCAAAACTACAAAAATGAGGATAGAGAGTTTTGCCTCAAATAAAATTATGGTCTTTAAAAAAGAAATGTATTCAATTTTTTCCACGGCGCGGGTCTGATTTTCGTTGAACGTTCTAAATTTTCAAAAATTTTAAATTTCGTAATAATGCGGGAAAGTATGTGCCGTTTAACACCACTAGTTTTCAGTAACTTATCTACAATTTACACATTTCATTAATAAACGAAACATTGATCTTAGTTTCATTGAATAGAACGAAGAATGGAAGCTCGGTTTCAATTGTTCAGAAATGATGTGTTGGTTTATCGGGGGAGTTGCGGGTGTCTAAGAGTTGTAGCGTACAACGGCGCTGGACGAGAACAAACAAACCACTATAGTTCAAAACTATTTCATCCATAAAGCTACAACTTCACAAATAGTAATTAACGAATCGAATGTATAAAGAGGGTGGTAAATGCATGAATGGTATGTTCAAGAAATCGAGCGATGATAGGATTTTCTTATTTCCCACGAGTGCAATTATACCACTTTATCCATGTGATTCGTTCAATATTTTTTCGTTTCCACTAGAGAATAATTTTAATTTTGAGAAATTTAATCATATATTTACCATGAGAGGTATGCGTTGGATTACGTCCTATTGGTTCTGAACAAGGTCTATTTCAGTAGGCCTTGCAGTGTATACTTATGATCATCTTAGTGTCTTAGAGAATAATGTTTGAAGTAAGAAATAAGAAACGTTGGAAAATGGAAAGTATTTAACGTATTCCGGATGAAAGATTAAAAGAAGCTGATAAAGCGATGAAAACACTATTTCGTTGGAAAAGTAAGGGCATATATGTTGTAAGGACGTGTGTTAAATGTTGGAAAGGAGAAAGATGATTCAGATCTGACTCAGATGTTTTGCTGGTGTACTTTCGGAGCGGATAAATACAACTGACGATTACATTTTTTATGTTTGTAACACGCTAAGACCAAATGTTTTACGCATTACACATTTATTCTTGTTAAATATTTTATGTTGTTCCATTAGTCAGCTAGTGTCAAACCCACATGCTTATGGTCATTCTTGTGCATGTTGAAGACGTGGCATGTACTAGAGAATATCTATATTTTAAATTATAAAACAAATTACTTGATTTTGTAAAAAAATAAAGAGGATTTACCAAAACAACTACTCTTTCTCTTGGCCGTCATGATCATATAGGCGAAGTAAATATATCTGTGCAATACACAGAGACTTCTGCATTAGAATGATTGATGCCAAGTATGAGTATGATATATGATGCCAAGAATGAGACAAATATTAACACTATTGTTTAAGAAGTAGTAATAATTTTTCGTTTATAATTTTGTTTCATTCGTTCGCCGATTATGTTTTTGATGTACATTGTAATGTCATCTATGATGTACATTTTTGTTCATGTTTCATGGCTGTCTGGAAATACTTTGGCTACGTCTGTGTCTAATTAAAATATTTTAATCTGTTGTCTGAGTTCTGATTGGCAGATGTGAACTTATAATTGCACGGTGGAGTTTTAATTGCACGCATGTCATAAACGTAGTGGTAACACTGGTCAATAGCATTTTTGTATCAAAGAATTGAATGGTGTTCTTAGCAAAGACTTGGGCACTGAATTTGAATATGAAATCAGCTTTTGACTATCGGACTTAGTTTTCTTGTTGCATTTTACTCTCGATTTACGGAAATGTTTGAAAACGCTGAATATTGGTTATTTTGCTGTAGCTTCATTTAAGAATTCTGTAGATGTAAGTGTTCAGGAACAATCGAAAAGTGTACACGAAATTCCTATACACGACACTGAATTTAGAAATTCACCTTTATGAAATGAAAAAGGGTTCGCAACATTGCTGAGAAGTCATGCTCGAACAGAATCTCTTTGTGTTTCTAGTCTGTTGCATCTCTGTTTTGAGCGATCTGACACCATGGAAAGCGGCTTGGATGTGACTGCTTGTTGTTACAGGTTCGTGAAGGTTTGTGCATTGTTTTAATTCAGAAGAATAAATGTTCAAATACGTGATATTATATTTGTGGAGAATTATCTTTGAAATCAAAACCGGAACCTTAATCCTCTGGTAAGAAAGTGTTATAAACTTTATTTCGGGTGTAAGGTAGGCGTCCAGGACAATAAATGGGACTCTCATATATGAAGTGTGTCGTGTGTTACACTCTTGACACGGTGGTTAAAAGGTTCACGACACAAGCCCTTTGCTGTTTCCATGATTTGGAGGGGACCAACAGATCACACAATACTGTTATTTCTACGTGTCACAAATAGCTGGAATCACCGCAAAAACGTAAACTATGCAATACCCTAATATACCGTCTGCTATACGGCCAGTGTGTCACAGTGAAGAATTGCTGGTACCACTACCCACCACCTCCTGAGAACGTGACAGTGAATACAGTTAAATGCTATAGTGTCGAACATTCAGAAGACAGAGGAGGAGATACCAATGCTGGCCCAACATTTCAAGCCTCCTGTGAATAATTCCAAGCCTCTTCTCTTTTCGTAACACTTACGTTGCCGTATTCGTACTGTTTATGTGTCGATCTATTGTTAATGGAGTGTGTCATTTTGCCAGATACATAGGGAGAAATACGCAATTACAAAAACATCACATGAAATTATCACACGAAAACTGAGGCCGATACAGAAATGTTGAAATTAGATCTGCATTGAGAGACAAATTATCTTCCAGAAACAGTGTGTTTTTTCTTGTTACAGAAAAAAGTTTTTTGTATATACCAGTGTAATCAACGATTTTTCATGGAATTAATGAGCATATTTAGTCAACTAAACAAGTCCCTTTGAGATATGTGTAACTCGGCGTACGAAATGTCATAAAAATTCATGATGGTCAAATACACTTACCCAAAATTAGCTTGGAATACTCACTTTCTATTCCAAAGTTCAAGTAATGCACTTTAAATAGTACATGATATCAAAATGTATGTAACGACATTTCTTAAAGAATAGTTTATTACTTTTCATTTAAAAACAAAGCGAAAAACAAAAAGATTGCAGCAGATTGTAGAAATAATGGAGTCAACAGTGTGTTATCATTCACTTTAATGGCAACTTAAAATAACTCTGAACATAACGTTTACTGGCACCCTGGACTTTATTTATAGTCAGGTGTCATAATTAATAATCAAAAGAGAAATCACGCCCAAAAGTATTTTCATATATAATCGTGCGTCATCACGGCCTGCTCTAGTGGTAAACATTCTAACATTGCTTAGCGATAGAAAACAAAATCACATTACAATACAGAACAGAGAATAGATGCGAGCTATTGTTCCTTAGAACCCAAAATAAGATATCGAAAAGTTCGAATGCCAGCGTAGTAAGATGTTCTCCTTCCAAAAAGATTTCCAGCGATGCTTCTCCAAGTGAGCAATTAGCAATACTTTTATTCCATAATATTGAATGCA